CTGGCCAAGTAACTTATTATAACGTTATTAAGCACTCACCAACTCTCCCAAGAACTCATATAATATGGTAACAGTATCAATGGATGGTATTAATAGAGACAGTTGTAATAAAGTATCAATTAATAATATTGCTAAAGATGATTATAATGATAATGTTGCAGTATCATTGGATAGATTCAAATGCATTTGTGATTTTGTCACGATTTCAATAGATAATAGTGAGTTATATATAATCATGGAAGAAAATATTTGTGTCAATGAAGATGATTGTGATATCAATGATAAAGTATTGGTTGATAGCATTGTCGAAGATGGTTGTGATAATTGTATTAGATGAGAATTTTTGCGACAAAGTAGCTGATGCTTCAATATTTAATAATGCATTAACTTGTTTTCTTTTTTTCTTCAGATTGTTGTCCTTGATATTCTGATATATGGTTCTTTAATGCGTTTTGTTTCAATAGTCTCTTCCTACATTCTAATAGCTTGTATTTGCATTATAATTTTTTATATATATCAGTAGTTTCTTAAAATACAAAGTGACCTAGCTTTTTAGATAAGTTATTTACATACTGTTTTCTTTTATTAGGATACAGCATGATAAAGTAATTAAAAGTAAGCTTTTTTGTTTATCTGGATCTTGATAAGTTATGATATAATCTATAATATTATCTGGATCCTTGATTATATAGAGCTTATTTGCTCATTATAAGATTCTATTTTAATTAAATTAATAAAAATATATTCATTTATACAATAAATTTAGTATCAGATCTGTATCATTCAAACATTCATTAATGAACATGTTAAGCTCAAGCTAATCGAAAATGATAATTCAGGAGATTGAATAATTATATTATGTGTATAAGATATTGGTGTACTGATGATAATGAGTTAATATTATATAATTTATACTTAGAATTTTAAGTTCTTTTTATATAAATACTTTGAATTTGACACATGAATTATATTTTATTAAAGTAAAAAAGTGATTCCTAAAATAAAATACTAAATCTGATACACAATTTATTAAAGATATATACTTATAATTATTATGCTACTTATAATCATTACAATGATAATTTACTAAGAATCTACTCTAATTAGCTTAGTTAACATTACTACAGTATCACAGCTAGACACACATGATCAAATTTTCACAGATTTCAACATGTTGAGTTTTCAGTACAAAAAGAAAAAAATCAGTTACTAATTATATATATATAATACAATATCAATATCATGTTGATTTTCAAGATTATGATAACTTACTGATCCCTGAGCAATTTGAAATATTCTCTGAAGAAAAAGAGACTTATGAATGACCAAACAAAAACAGTTCCAAAATAAAGTTTAGCTTATTTATTCACCCAGAGATTTAATGAGTTTTGGTAATGAACAGCAATTAAACAAGATTTCGAACAAGTGAAATACGATTATGTACCTAGCAATATGACATTATCACAAAAAAAATTTAAAGCAAGTCGAGAACTATTTTGGATCCAAACATAAATTTAATATAATAATTAATAAAATATTGATAGCTTTTAGAAACTAAATAAATACTAGTGCTGGACAATAAATATTAATCAATCAAATTTTTACATGATTTGTTTCAATTTCGAATATATATATGAAAAATGATCAACTTTAAATTACTAAAACTTTTTACAAGAAAAAATTTTTAAAAAACTAAACTAATAACTTTATAGAGTGTATCTCGAATTACAAAGTTATTAGTTTATTTTTTCAAAATTATCTCTGTGTAAAGTAGAGTAGAATTTTAAAGATATCTTATTTTTTTATCAAGTGATTGGTGATTATAGATTTCTGATATCATATATGTAATATTTATTTGTTATTTGTTACAACATATTGTAACTTTAAAATTTTATAATTTATAACTAGTTATAACTAAATGATATTTTATTTATATCATATTATAATAATTATTATATTATTTTTAGTATTATTATTAAAAATTAAAAATTAAATATTTTCAGTATTGACTGATTTAATTTTGTGCTATTTTTTTTCTATTTTTTTTAATATATAAGTTGTATATAGAAATATTATTATTTTATTTTCATATTGTTAAATAAATTCAGAATTTAATTTGATTTTATTACAACAAGATACTATTTATTTTTTTAACATTATAAATATTTATAGAAATTTAATATAAAAATAAAAATTTAATACTATATACAAATTTAATAAAATTAAAATAAACAAAATATATATTTTTAAAATTTGTATTCATTAATATATATTAATTTATTTTTACTTGTTTAAATTAGTTTTAATTAATTATTGACTATATTGTTTAGAGCAAATATTTTTTTGTGAAAAAATTTGATTTCTGAATTTTGTTTAGTATTTTTTAGTAATTATTTTATTAACTAATATTTTTTTATTAAAAAAAAATATATTATTATAAATGTGAATTTTGAATAGATAGTTTTATAATATAAGTATTTAATCAATATCTAAAATTTTTGCAATATTATCAAATTGATTTTATTAATTACAAGTTGATACACAATGTATTTTTTTATCTGTTAGCTAAGCTTTTATTATTATTAATAAATAATATATTTATCTAGTGTAAAATAGTTCTAAAATAATATAATACTAATATTTTTTAGCAACTTGTTTAATGTTTAATAGTATAAAATTAATATAAGTATATTAATAGATAAATTTGATTAATAATAAACAAAAAACAGTTTATTAATTAGCTAAAATTTTGTAATAGTTAATTAATGATCTTTTAAAGTTTTTATTTTATTTTATATTTATATATTTTTAAATTATATTAATATAATAAATATAATAAATATAATAAATATATTGAATATATTGAATATTTTTGATATTTTTGATATTTTTAATATAAAACTAAAAAATTAAAATTAAGAAATTATATAATTATGAGTTATAATAATATTTATATATATTTAAATTAATAATATTATAATATAGATCAAATTTACAATAATTAATAGTTTAGCATTGCAAATAAAATATAATTAAAAATTTTTATCTATAAATAGATTTGATATATAATACTTGTGTTAATATTTACAGATATTATTTATTAAAATAATTTGAAAGTGAGTTATTTATTGAGAATTATTAATTAGTTTAAATAATATTACTTGTTGATTTATAATTATTTAGTTGAGCTGGTTGAACTTCTCTTAATAAGCTTAAAACTTAGTCATCTGATTTAATTAACTGCTTTGGTTAACTTGAGATTGTTGAGATTAAATTTTTAGAGCAGATTTTTTATATCTTCAAAATTTATTATTCATATAAATATTTTTTAACAATATTAATATTAATTAATGGTGCTTTTTCTAGCTAAAATCTTTAACTTAGTCTTTAATTAATTAATTACTATTTTTTTAATAATCAATATTTTTTCAGATCAAAGATTCTAATTATAATTAATTACAATAATTTTTTGAAAAAGAATTGTATGCAATTATTATCATTTTATTAATTTTTGAAGACTATATATATATTATTGGTTACATTGTAAGATCATTTTGGATAGTACTTAAAATATATTTGATATAATTTAACTAAGATATATTTAAAAGATATAATTTAAGATTGCAAAATAGAAACTAATAATTAAATATAATCGTACAAGATAAAATTAGTTCAAAGATATAACAGGATCGATCAATTAAAATATGTGATCAATCAGATCGATTTTTGCAACGAGAAGTTTATGGATAGTGCTTAGGGACAGTGTATGATCACGTGGTCTTTAGAAATCCACACATACGAGATCATGGAAAATTGACGTTAAAGATTATTTTATCGTTTGAATTAAGATTATGATTAAAGCTAAAATTTCTTTTTCGACATTATTTATTAGTATTTCAAACTAGATTTAGACATCTGTTTTTCACATTTTTTATTTTCTTGTGTCAAAGACCACGTGATTCAGCACTGTCCTGAAGCACTTCCCATTTATTCATGTCACGTGATTCACCGGTTCCGGATAGGGATCGGAAATCACGGGACCTGGAAATTTTTTTGCCTACAAAAAAATCATGATATATAACGATGACTACCAAAATTGATTAATACAGTGCATACAAGCTAAAACCGACCAATCACGTGATCTTGTTTCAATTTTCAAAATTTTCAATCTAAAATTTAA